GAGCGAGATCAACATCAACTATGCCGGCGTCATCCATCTCTCGATGCTTTTGATTCCGCATCTGGCGTCGAAACCATTCAGCGCGCTATGGACGGTCACGAGTGGGCTGTCGTTTGCGCCGCTCGCGTCGGTGCCGATTTACTCGAGCACGAAAGCGGCGCTGCACTCTTTCACGTGGTCGCTGCGCCACCAGCTCGCCGACACGTCCGTGCGCGTCATTGAGATCCTGCCGCCTGCTGTCGACACTGACCTGCAGGCGCCGGGCCTCCACACGTTTGGCGTCAACGTCGACGTCTTTGCTGACAGCATCCTCGAGCGCCTCAGCGCGGGCGAGACGGAGATCGGATACGGCATGGCCGAGAGCAGTCGCGTGGCGTTCCGGTCGGCGTTTGAGATCGCATTCGGAAACATGAACAAGAACCTTCATTTTTCGGCGCCATCGACGTAGGAAAAGGTCGAATGCGCTAAATTTGACATTATTTGTGTCGATTTCCCGTTTGTGTTTTGCCAATTACAGGTTTTAACTAACATATCAGTGACGAATCAATAATCGAATTTCGCAGCAAGCTCATGAGCGACGATGCATGAGGCCAAAGGGAAATCCTCGCTTTTCTCAACTTCAACATTTCGCGCCAAAACCTACACGAGATATCCGAACGACGCCTGATTGGCTGAAATGCAAAAGCACAAGCCAATAAAAAACGTATCCGGTTAAAGTCAAGTTGCCGCTCAGCACTCGCACGAGCTGCAGCAGCAGCAAAGGTGACCTGCGACGGCTGCAAGCGGCTCTGAAGCACCGTGTCTACGCCCAAAAAGAAGGACTGAGCATGTGTGCTCAATGCCGCGCCGCCTTGAAGGCTTCGTGTTCCGCTGTCGACACTGCTTTAACGGCTGCTCGTCCCAGGGTCGACACGGCTGCGCTCCTCGACGAGCTCCAGCGATTCTTTCAGCACGCGCATATGAGTGGACTGCAAGCCAGCTCATATTGTATTGCGGTGCGACGCTTCGACTCGAGCAAACGCTCGGGCAGGCGCAGAAAGACCTTGCGCTTCAAAATGCCATCATCGGCGCTTTGAAGGTTGAGAAAGCGGCGCTTGCTACGACTCGCCGCTCTGCGGCGGCGTCAATGCACAGGGCGACGATCCGCTCTGCCGTCGAACCCATCGATGTCACCGAGCCAGCACAAGTGTAGAGCTCGCTAGCTGTGCCCCACTTGTACTTGCAAAGCCAAAGTTCAAGTCGTTGGTCCCATACGAAATGGGTAAAACGACGAGTCTTTGGTCATTGGGGAAGGGGAAAGGTTGAGCTTATCGACGGATGATAACACAAAATTCGATTGTGACGGTCATTTTGCACAAGCTTATCGTACAAATACGCTAGTTGGCAGCTTCCGTCATGCTGTAGAGGGCGAGGAGCGGGTATCCGTCGAGTTGGGTCGCACTGTGGCTACAAGTGCCCCTTGGTGTAACCTTGATGTCAGTAGATTAACAATCCTCTGCAAACGATTATGGTCCACTAACACCAATCGCTCGACAGCTGGCCCCATCCCGTACATGGGTGAACGCCAGGAGCGGCTGCCACGTCAGCGGTTTCGGCCAGTATCCGGATAGGATTCCTCGCCACCGGTGCAAAGTCTAAGTGGTCAGTTTGCAGTTTGCTCAACGAGGTCCGCAGCAGCATGGAGTCGATGACGGGACATACGATCGTCGTGACGGGCGGTGGCAGCGGCATCGGCCTTGCGCTCGCCTCGCGTCTCCTTGGCCTTGGCAACACGGTCATCATCGTCGGTCGGCGCGCCGCCAAGCTCGCCGAAGCGAAGGCCGCGCATCCCGGCTTGCACACGGTCGTCGGCGACGTCGAGTCAGCAGCCCAGCGTGAGGCGCTGTTTGCGACGCTGATTGCGTCGTACCCGGCGATCAACGTGTTTGTGCATAACGCAGGTGTCCAGCACACCTTGAACCTCAAGGCCGGCGTGGCGCCCAGCTGGGACGCGCTCGCGAGCGAGATCAACATCAACTATGCCGGCGTCATCCATCTCTCGATGCTTTTGATCCCGCATCTCGTCGCCAAGCCGTTCAGTGCGCTCATCACGGTCACGAGCGGCATTGCGTTTGCGCCGATCGTCGCGCTGCCCATCTACTGCAGCACAAAAGCGGCGCTGCACTCGTTCACGTGGTCGCTGCGCCACCAGCTCGCCGACACGTCGGTGCGCGTCATTGAGATCGTTCCGCCCGAGGTCAACACAGAGCTCGAGGCACCGGGTCTGCACACCAACGGTATCAGCGTCGATGTCTTTGCCGACAGCGTCCTCGCACGACTCGGTGCTGGCGAGACCGAGATCGGCCATGGCATGGCCGAGACCGGTCGCCTCGCGTTCCGCGCAGCATTCGAGATCCCGTTCGAGAACATGAACAAGGACATTCATTTTCCGACGCCGTCCGCGCAGTAGGCGCTTACGACTACACGTACCGACAATGAGATGAACGAGTCTACTAGTACTGTCTTGTGACGGCCGAGTGGTGCAGATGGCAGCAATGGTCGCACGGGCGCCTATGCGGGCAGGTAGCAGGACTGTCGTGACGCATGTTGGAGTGCTGGCCTTGGGCCAGAAGCGAATGAAGTTGAAGCGCTGGCCCGTCTTCCGTGATTGGAATCCATGGACCAATCATGAGCGGCGAAATCAATTATTTTGGCCAATGGCATCGCATATCCTGTGGGCGACAAACATCAGCTCTGGCAGGATTATTGCCGGTGACGATGGCGGACGACGGGAACGACGAAGCTGTGGCGCCACCACGGCCGCGCATGAAGCCGATCTTGCTCTACGAAGAGATCGTGCTCGGCGGCGTGACGACAACGGTACGACGCGCCCCCACACAGTGGCTCATGGTATGGATGGCCAGGGCGTCAAGTACACGTGCGTCGACGTGTGCGCCCGCTTCCTCGCGTGCGGCGCGAGCAACGGCAGCGTCTACGTCTTTGCACGCAGCCAGAAGAAGCAAGCAACGAGCAACGTACAGTTTCGGCTCCTCAAGATGATTGCTCCGCCCTCGTCGGCGAGCGAGCGCCACCCGGTGGCGAACCTCAGCTTTTGCCCGTCGCAGCGGTACCTCGTCGTCGGCACAGCCAAAGGCGCCGTCTACGCCATCTCGCTTGTGGACCCCGCGCGCATTGGCGAGAAGATCGAGTTCTCGCATGCGCTCCATGTCGGCTTTAGCGTCAATGCCTTCCTCTGGGACGCCGACGGCTCCCGCGTCTTCTCGGCCTGCGCCGGCGGTACGGTCGCGCAGACGTCGATCCGCGCCGGCATGTACGTACCGACGCTGGACATCTCGATCGACTTGGATTCATCGCCCTAGGTCGGTGCTTTTTGGGAATACGACGACTGAGTTTCTCCTCAAGGAAGACACGGCGATCGTGCAGCTGGACCTTGTCAAGACGGCGTCGCCGGCCCGCGACTACCTTCTCGTGTCGTCGCAAACGCGCGTGCTCATTCTCAACCTCGCGGCGACAGATGCAAATGGCGTGGTGCAGGTATTTCCGGCGCTTTGTATCAAGTTTGTATCAAGATTTTGAAACGTTAGGTCGGGTCCAAGCTGCGCCAAGGCAACTACGGCGCGTGTTTCTACTTGGACAACGACGAGAAGGACTATCGCGTCTTCTCGACGCGGCCGGGGCGCCGTGTCTGGGTCGGCGACCCGTCCACCGGCACCGTCTCGTCGACGCTCAAATTTTCACTGACCAAGCCGCCCGAGACCTTTTTCCAGGGCCCCAATTTACCGCCGCACGAGCGTACGCCTATATTGTCTCTAGTCGTTTGCCTATCATTTCTTGTAGCGATTTCGGTCAAGTCGCTCAACCTCTCCAAAGTGCACGTCTTCAAGTACATCCACGAGTCGATGGACTTTACGCCCGAGGCGCCGCAGCTCCTCAGCTGGTTTCCCGGCACTTCGGCGCTCTTCTTCGTCGACCCCGTCGGCCTTGAGCTTGTCGAGTGGCACGTCGACCTCGGCGAGATCCACGACCTCAAGGTATAGTTCAACTTTTCAACTCGGTGCGCCATATTCGCCTAGGTGCTGGATGCCTCTGTGTTTGCAGTGCTGCACGGCGATCCGGGCCGCGTCGCGATCGTCCGCGCGTGCGCTGCAGTCGAATTCCTCGAGCTTGCCGTGTCCAACGACGTGGCCAAGTCAATTGATGTTCGTTGCGCTTGGTCAAGATCATCGAATATTTACGGTATTTTACCCCTAGCTGGTCGTCAAGTACAGCATTCAAGACCTCGCGCTGCTGTTGAATTTGCAGTGCAAGTGGACCGAGCACATCAAGCAGCATCCGGACGACGCGTCACTCGTGTCGGACTCGACGCTACAAGCCCTCGACGGGCTTATCGAGGTTGCAGCCACGCTGCTTGAAGAACAGACCAAGTACATTGACCTCTTCCTGTGGATAATATCGTATGCAGGTATGCATATTAGAGCGCCCGAAGCCGACATTCAGCCGCCCCACATCGTCTTCAAGCAGCGCCGGGAGATGCCAGCGATCTCGTCTCCGAAAGCCGGTGCGTCCATCGAGACAGAGCTTCGGTTTGCGTTGCCGTCGGCGTCGGCCACGTCGTATGGCCAACTGAACGTCGCGCCGGCGGTGGTCGTGGCCGAGACGGGTGCCAGTCGCAGCCGCGTCGTCGAGATTCCAGATCTGAGCGCCCAGGACAAGGTCGTCGACGAAGCGTGGCGCGCCGCGCACCTTCCGGCGCCGAGCGAGGCCATCAACTACAAGCCACCGACGCTCTTTGGGGAGACGCTCGACGTCTTGGATTTCGAGTCGCACTTGACGAACGCAACATCCTCGCTCGTGTCGCTACTACCCGACATGTCGTTTCTGAGACGAGACTCGACGTCCGACTTTGTGGATGAAGAGAGCTTCCCGCCCCTCGATGTGTTGGCGCCCAACCCGGTCTCGCTGGTCGCCGACCCGTCGCTCGCCCTGCGCATCGTCATGGCAGTCGAGACGACGTCGGATGAAGACGCAGCGCTCATTGTACCCGAAGCGGTTCAGCTCACAGAGCCCAGTGCGTGCATTGATCTGGCGTCGGACGCTGAAGTTGTCCTTGAGGCTATCTCGATCGATTTGTGGTCGAGTCAGCTGCAGGTGCAAGCGACGCTGCCATGGCTCAAGGAGCTCGAGGCGACGCCGCTGCCCGAGCCGCCAACGTCCGGTAACAGCGACGATACAGCGACGCTGCCGCTGATCGAGACTCCCCAGAAGTTCATGGCGCGCGCGCGGTCGCTCTCAGAGACCAAGCGGTCGCTCATCCAGCGCACGGTCAAGCGTCAAATGGGCGTGTACCCGGCCGCGCACGTCGACTGGAAGTGGCATCTCGGTGGCACGATGCAGCAGTCGCCCGAAATTGCGCCGATCCTCGCCCGTCCGTTGCCGGAGGTTGAGACCGAATTCACCGCGCTGGTCGCCGACGCCGACCAGCACCAAAAGCTCATGCTGTGGCCGACCGTGCACCTCACGCGGTCGGCGGCGTGCCTTGTCAACCACCTCGTGCACCAAGGCGACTTGACGCGTGCGACGCTGCTCCTGCGCCAGTGGCTGAGCACGTTTGATCCGTCGCTCGATGTGGCCGTCATTGAGAAGCGCAAGGCCATCGAGCTCATCAAGCGCTCGAAAATGGCAGCACCGGCGCCGATCGAAGAGAAGCTGCCGCTCACGCGCCATGACTGGCGCCTCGTGCGGTCCCTCGTGTCGCTCTACTTTCTCTTGCACGCCGACGTGCCTCTCTCGATCGAGCCCGCGACGACGCCCTGTATGCTCGACAACCGCACGCGCATGGACGAGTTTGGCATCGCCGTGCTCGTCTCGGTGCCGCTGACGTCGTCGCCGTCACCGAAACTGCAGCCCTTTCTCGCCAAGTACGGCAACTACGTCAACTTGGAGATGGCCGCGCAAGTGTGTTCGGCGCTCGAACACGCATCGGGTCTCGAGACGGTGCTGAATCTGGCGATTGCCAGCGAGAACTTGGCGCAGGCATGCGACGACCTCCTCATGGCTGTCACCGAGAAGCACGAACTCGACCTCTCGCAGTATACGTCGCTCTGCGTCTGCCTCCATGTGCTCAACGTGCTGTTGAAGAAGGTGCCAAGCACTGCGATCGCGTGGTGCGTCGAGCGCTACCCGTGTGTGACGCCCTGGAACGTCCAGACGGCGCTCTTTGGCTCCCAATGGGTCGAGCTGGACACGTCCGCCCCCGGCGCCGACACGTATTTCGCGTACCTTGGCGCGCTCTTGTCCAGTGCACACGACCGAGTCGGCTGCCGGGCGACGTTGGTGGAGCACTGGCTGCGTCTCTTCTTCAAGCGAGCGCACGTTGAGCGTGACGACGCCTTGCTATTGACGATCCTCGGGAAGCCCGAAGTGTTTGCCTTTGATCGGGCGACCGCGTGGGACCTCTGCATGCAGCACGACATGTGGGACGGCGTCTTTCAGCTCGTGCTCAACGCGATAGCGCAGCCGTCGACCCGTCTCGCCGGGTAATTCCTTCTGCATCCATCGGTACGTCTTCTACAACTGTACGCTTAGGACGTCCGAGCTACGGACGCTCGTGTACACGGTGCTGCAGTCGGAAACACCGTCGCGACTGGCCATGCTCGGAGGGCTCTTTGAACGCATTGCCAAGCTGCCGGACCCGACGCCGCTCCTGCACTGCGTCCTCGAAGAGATGGAGACGTTTTGTCAGCTCACGACCAAAGACGTTGCTTTTGTTCAGCTGCTGCATGCGATGCTGGACGCGTGCGGCGTCACGCTCGGAATGGAGCTTCTCGCGGGGTACCCGACACTGATTGCGATAGCACCGCTCGAGCTCTACCAAGCCGTCGTCGCCGCGCAGAGCCTTCACCAGCGGTGCGCCCGTCCCCCAACCATTGTCGCTCCCTCACACGTGATGGGTTTCGGTGTAGGCAGCTGCAAGAAGTCGGGCGCATGCTGGAAGGCATCGACACGTACGTGTGGTCGTGCAGTCGGCGGCACCACCTCGCCTTCCCGCCCCAAGTCGAAGCGCTCTTCCGAATCGAGAGCGGCTTCTACGACACGTGGGACACCAACATGCCCGACTACACGCCGTATAGCGCCACGAGTTGCGGCCCCGAGACCAAGGCGCTGCACCGAAGCTACGAGTCGCGCAACAGCGACTGGGGCGGTGACATTCAACTGCACGACTCGCAGTGCGCCGCCTGCGACCTCCCGCTCATCTACGTCCAAGACGGTACGATCCTTGTTGGAGCCGAGATAAATTGACGACGATGGTGCGTAGATGGCAAGACCATGGAGGCCATCTTGCTTTCGTGCGGCCATGCTTTTCACGACTGGTGCCTCCCGGACCGCACGTGTCCCGTTTGCCTTGGCGCCCACTTTTGCTTCCATAGCATCGACACATAATACTGTAGTAACGCGCCGTGTGAACGGTGAAATTACGGTTTACTCGGCTTCGTTGAGGACGATGGCGACGCCTCTAGCTTCCAACAGCGTTGCTTCTTCGGTCGTCGGCAAGTAGAGATGGAAGAGACTCGTCGACGGCGGCGGGCCAGCGCCGCTGGTTGCGTAATAAGGGTACACGGGGCAGGCAAAGTACCCTCGGAGATCGGACGTTTGGCAGGCGGCGATTCTACGTCACGCCACTGAGGTCGACGCCACACAGATGAGAAGCAAGTACTGCAGCGAGAGGCCGCCTTGGATGAGCCCGTCGTCGTTGGCCAGCTCACTCAGCATTTGCTTGACGGCATCCCACCGCGCGTTCTACAGCACACGGTGCAGGTGTACGCTGCAAGTCGTCGATGGTACCCGCACAAAGAGGCTGCGAAGGCTCGTGGCATGCGCTGTGGACGGAGGCACGACCGCAAAACACAGCTCCGAGATGCCGATGCGCTTGGGGCAGGTGGCCAGGAGGGTGAAGAGCACCGCTATACATCAAGCTAAGGCATTTGCCGATCCATAAAACAACGCACCGCGTGGACGCGACAGAAACTGCAGTTGCAACGTGGGCACACACTGCGTATGCAGAAACTCGAGGTAGAAGGACGCGGCCGACTGCGCCCAGGCCACAAAGCGCACGAGCGTCGTCGGGCAAGCGTACCCTGCGCGCAGCCAGGACGACGGGACGCGCTGGTGAGCGATCGCGTGCGCCGTTTCGGGCGAGAGCGTGCGCAGCTCTCGCTGGAGCAGACCAAAGTAGCTTTCGATTGCCAAGAGCTCACTGTATATAGCCTTGTGCAAGTGCGAAGGCCACTTGCGCTCGCCAAACGTACTGCGGGCGTCGCAGTGCGTAAAGACAGCGTCGCGCGGTAGTTGCAGCTACAAACAACCCAGATTGATGGCAACCGTAGGCGTGCGAGGACGTACCAACAACGCTTCGGCGAGGTCGTCCACGGACGTCGCTGCAAAGAGCGCCTTGCAGTCGCCAGGCGGCGCCTAAAGCGTGTTAGCGATGCCTATCGCACCAACGTACTTGGGACTGCGTCAGCGTCGAGGCGACAGCGAGCATCGTCTGCGTCTCGAAATATGCATCCAATGACTGCGGAAGCCCCATGATCGCCGCCGAGATCTTGGTGTCGACCGGTAACAGCACATCGCAGGACCGACGCATGCCCTCTACGTGCACCATTTGGCGCTGGACACCGTTGCATCAGGTGGTACCCTTGGTGGCGCGCGTGGTGGCGTGGTGGCGCAAACCGCCCTTGAGCCGACTGAGCCACAAGCTTTTGTCGCCCGGCCGCGCCTCGCTCGACGTGCCAAATTCAAAAATGTACCGGGCGAGAGCCGTCCACTGTTTATGAACACTCGGATCGACGCTCTTGCCGTGGTAGAGTGGCGCAAGCAGCAACGCGAGCTCGTCGCTCGAGAGCCCGGGCTTGTCGCCGACACATTCCAAGAGCAACTCGGCCCTCTCGAGCTCGTAGAGCGTCACGGGGGCGTAGAAGGGCGACGCGACGTGGACACCGCGCGTGCCCGAGAGTGCGATCCCGTGGAAGAGGTGCAGCGCATGCCGCACGGGTTGCACGCTCGCCTCGAGCGGGTTCTGGAGCGTAAACACCACGTTGAAGAAGAACGTGTGCAGCTTGGCGCTGGGAAGTCGCGCGAGGAGCGACGACGGCGCTTCGTCGAGCAGCCAGAGGCGAAAGTCGCTGTGGATCGAGAGGTCGCCGTTCGAGAGGAGTGCAAACTGCCGGTTAAGGTCCATGAGGTCGCTCGCCGAGAGCCGATCGACGTCCTACTCCATCGTGCTATGCGACCATGTACCAGAAACGACGATCGATCGACCTGAAGGATGAGCCAGCCGCCGTGCACACAGGCGTCCTTGAGCGCGCGGAGACAAGCAGGTACGACGTCGGGCACGGCCAGTGAGAAATACCAAATGTCCGCATCTCGGATGCCGAGGCTCAGCGCCGTCTAGATGCAATGAGCCTTCGAAGTCTCCCGAAACGTCGGTACCTCGATGAGCACCCAGAGCGGGTGAACAACGCTGTCAGCATCAAACTGCAGCAAAATCGGTCGGTGGCCGTCGGTAATCTGGACCATCGCGGGCACCGTGAGGAGCTCGTAGTTGATTTCTGGCACGTAGCCATTCACGACTTGTTGCATCATGTTGGGCACCTACGAATCCCATGTTCAAACTGCAAATGATCAAAATCGTACAATCAAATCGTGCGATAGGACAATAAAGAGGAGCTTGGCAACCGCGGGCAGCTGCTGCATGAAGCGCGTCCACGGCATGTCTTGAAAAAAGTGGGGCGTCGCCTGCATGTACGAAGCATACGCCGCCGGGTGCGCATCGATGTCGTCGAGAAGCGGCGCAAACAGCGGCAGCGCCAAGAGAGATTGCACGTTGCGCAGGAGGCGCGTAATCTCATGCGGATGTCGACTGCCGTCCTTGCGAAAGACGTAGCGCGCATTGCCCGACAAGACATTGGCCATCGTCAGCTACCAAGGTCCTTTGAATGGCCTGCCAGCTACGCAAATACATACCGCTGGCTTGGGGCGGCGGACGAGCGCGGCGAGCTGCTTCGCCAAGCAGTGGCGCACGGCCATCTGCACAACGTCGGTCGCCACTTGATGCGTCATGGTCGGCGACGCGCAAAACACGTCGATCGCCAAGTGGATGCCGGGGACGCCGAGGCGCGTCTTGCGCTGGAGCTCGCGCCAGCAAAGAGGCACGAGGTCGTCGCCGCCCGGCTCGGCCGCAGCGATCGAGAGCGCCACGAAGAATGTGAACGCCACGTGCTGGTGCTCGGGTAGTCCGTGCAGGATCGTTTGAAGGTACGCGATCGTCACCTCGTGCGCCACGTCGTCGACGGCGCTCTCTCCATCGACCTCGGCGAGCTGCTTGATGCTGTCCTCAAGCACGCAGAACGCTTGCACGCTGCCGCCAAACGTGGTGGTGGCATCCAAGAGCGCACGCCCCCGCCGCCCAAGCCTACGCAATGTATATGTTCCGCAACAGGTGAAGCGCGTGGAGTACGGGCAGAAGCGGTTGCGCGCCGCTTCCAGAGCCGCGATCGATTCTTCCTTGGTGTCGATCGACCGACTCAGCATTGTGAGCGCGTCCATTTGCCCCGATAACATTGCGATTTCGTCGTTGCTGACCAGCAAGGCGGGGCTGCTGAGCTGCCGCAAGAGCCCGTCAAGAGCCACAGACCGGTGTCGCAAGTCGTCGTGCAAAGCTTCTTGAAGCAATCGCAGCTGGTTCTACGCCTCTCATCGTACCGACCGCGTATGTATTGGCAGCGTACGTCGTCACTGGGAAAGAACTTGGCGTAAAACCCTGCGACAATGTGGGCTTCCAAATCGGTCGACCGCAGCTCAAAGCTAATGGTCGTAAACGCTTCTTGCAGCTACAACCACGACAGCAGAGTATATAGAGAGGAGCGCCGATTGCATGATTTACCTCGGTACTCCAGCGAGCGCTGCAGTTGCAGTCGGCGACAAAGTACACGGGATGGCGAAGCTTCTTGAGGTGAAGGAGTTGAAGAAACGCCCAGAGACTGCCTTCATTGCACTGCGCCACGCGGTCGACGACCAGCTATACAGCGCCGCGTCATGAACCGTGTACGAGAATCGACAATTGTACAATGTAGTTGGGGTTGGGCGGCGACATTTCAAACCGAGCGAGCAGCATGGGGTCGTCGGCCGAGACGGCTTCGACCGAAAGCCGCTCAACCGTCTTGATCCAGTTGGCAGCAATGCCCTAATAGTACCAAATAACCCTAGTGAATAGTTCAACACACGACGCATACGTGCGGATCGATGAGCAAAAAATGCTGCAACTTGGGCGCCTCTTTCCATCGCTGGAGGTAAAAGAGGTTCATGGCGATGCCGGCGTCGGCAATGGCGCACGTCGCGCGGAGTTCCTGAAGGCCGCCTTCGCCCATCATAGCCGCCAGCAAGTTGACACTAAAGATGACGCCGGCGTCCACAAGTACTTGCTGCCATCGCGTCACAAGCTCCGTCCGGTCGCTCGGGGGCACGTCACCAATGTAGCTCGAGATGGCCGTCAACAGCACCGAGTCCCTACACACATATATATATATGGTTGCGGTACATGGATATGCATTAGGAAAACCCGAGGGAGGCGCGGTCGAGCGCCTGAATTCGGTGGTTCTCTTTGCGCAAAATGGTCTTGAGGCTCTCGAACGCACTGTTGACCCGCTCGAGCGACTCCAACCGCGCGACAACTTCGTCGTATTCGTGCTGAAGGAGGCCGCGCAGCGCCTCGTTCTCGTGCCACGCGAGCTGCACTTGGTTGGCGGCCGTCACGTGCGTCGTCCATGTCGCGCGGACAACGTCGACTTCGCGCTGGACGCGGTCCTATTCGCGTCGTCGAATATCAATCTATCGATCTATCAATGTATCAAGCACCAAGTTATGCTCGGCAGCGTCCAGTGTGTTTTGCTTGGGCCGGACGATCGTCATGACGCGGTGGTAGCGCGCGAGGGCGAGCACCCACCGGCAGAGCGACGTCGACGCAATTGACGCGCGCTTCATCTCGTCTTCGGTGAATTTGGGGTGTTGAATCACGCGCTCGAGCTTCTTTATAACCCTAATTCCCACATTGGAAATGGTTGAATCGGTAAAAATGGAGATACGCGTCCGGAATGTTGTCCTTATCGAACGACCGAAGTCGGTCCAGGAATTTCATGTCGCACAAGACGAAGAGCGCGTCTTCCCACGTCGGCGCGGCCCCGAGACCCAGCAAAACACACACCTAAACCTTCAAATGAGAATGAACCAGACTTGGCACGTACGGCTTGCATGACGAGGCGCACGAGGTCGGGCGGGGACGTGAACGACTTCATTTCGGTGATGTGGAGCTTATTGATGCGACTGAGCGACTGGATCGCGGTCTGCAGCTCGGGCACCGTCTGATCCAGCTCGGCTTGGATCAAGAGCCGTTCGTGATCGAGCTGCTGCTTCATGCGCGTGTACGCCTCGTTCTTGGCGTCCAGGACAGCCCGGGCTTGGTTCTCGGCCGTCACGAGTTTGTCGTACCTAGTCCTGTTGCTAAAACAACAAATAGCATAGTACAAACTACCGTGCTTGGAGCTGCTCCGACTTGGTTTCGAGGGCCCGTAGTTTCTTTGCCAGGATGCGTTCACTGGACCCCATGGCCTTGATCGTACTCGTGTGCTGCTGCATCATCTTGAGCCCTATCCAAAACGCCTCTTTTATATCAATCTCTCAAAGTATCGAGCCAACCATGACTATACGAGACGCGCGTATCCTGGATGACTTTGGTGCGTTCGACATGGTACGACGAAAGGCCGAGTACAAACGATTTAAACTGACTCACGGGGTTGCGGGACCCACTCTCGGACGGCCGGAGCTCCACATAAGCTGCGTGGATGGCCCACACGGCCGGCTGGAGCGTTGGCAAGACGTTGATTGACTCGTAGATTGAAGAAAACGCCGAAGGCGACCACGGTGGAAACACCCGCAGCGTACACGCATCCAAGAGGCCACTCGTTTGCTCCAGCAGCGTCGACAAACGGGCTTCGGTTCTACTTGCAACCTTGATATTAAGCAAGGGCTTGCGTCGAGTACCGTACCGCGTGGCGAGCGCCAAGTGCAGATACGTGGCCAAATGAACGCGGTAGAGCGACAAGCACTGCGCTTTGCTCGGGTTGGTGTTGGCGAGCGATGGAAGCTGCGCCATGCCGTCTGCAATCGCGTCCATATTCTCGGTCGAGTATTCGTCCAGTGGCACATCGCCGTCCCGAAGCAGAGTCAGAATCAGCCGCGTACTGCGAGCGTCGAGCTCGTCCATCGCAATGTAGAGCACCGTGTGCTTGCTGTGGGTGCCAACGTGCACGAGTACCTACAAACCGTTGAACACTTGATCGCAAAAGCATCATAGCCTTCTACCTCGCGCAGGCGCGCGTCAACGTCGTGGCCGCGGCGCATCTCGAGGTAGTTGTACGAGAGAATACCACAAACAACGACCAACGACGTGCGCTTGCCGACGCCACGCGGCCCTACACAAGCTCTCCTGCGCCATGTTCATGAATATCATGCTACCAAGCAGGAGCAGGTGCTGGCGCAGATCGCCCAGTGCAAAAAGCATGGCGAGCATAGCCTCGACCGCTTCTGGAAACGGCGCGAGGTGCTTGACGAGCGGACTCTCGAGCGTCGGGTGGTGCCACTGAAACTTCTCGTGGCCTACTCCCCCCAGTGTGTATTCACGAGAAGGCAATATGTCCTACCTTTGATGAAGAGCCCGACTGCCTCCTTGGATGTGAGCGGAATGTACCCGAGGCCGTCCGTCTTGTCGCCATAGAGCGGTCTATCGACGTAGCTCACAGCGTCATAGTCGAGCGTCGTCGCAACCGACGGCACGAGCTTCCGGAAGAAACTGGCGTCGCCGCGCGTGCAGCGACTGCCAAAGACGACACTTGTCACGTTGAACACGAGGCCCTCGAGGTGGCGCTTGGCGTCCAGATTCGCGCGGCTGGCGCGCAGGACGTGCGAGTAGACAAGGACGAGGTCGCCGAGCGAGAAGCGCGCAAACGGCGCGTCCAGAGGCTCCTGCACCAAGAGCTCTAGGACCTGTAATGGCAGCTGGAGCGCATGCCACGCCATCTCGGCCGTGTACTTGGTGCTAAAGTGTTCTGCCATGTACGTCGCCAGCGGTCGAAACACGCGGTGCAGCGTGCGGGGCGGCACAGGCGGCTGCCACACCTACAACCTCTTCTGTCGACCCCATTTCTACCCTGACTTGTCGCGTACCACGTGGAAATGTCGAAGGAGACGCAGCGAGAGCGACGACGACGTCGGGACGGACAGCAGCGCCACGAACGCGCAGTGCTGGAGCTGCATCACATCGAACGTCCGGCGGTCGTAGACGCTGTTGGTGTCGAGCACTTGACGCAGCTGCTCGTGGCTTGCCTAAGCGACGTGACAACACACATCGGCGTCGTCGACGCAGTACCAACGAGCCCAAATGCAGATCGTCGACGAGGTACACCATGGCCGCCTTGCCCGTCGTCGGTCCGTACAGCCCTTTCATTTTGCGCTCCAAACCGACGACCACTCGTTCCTACGCCACGGTTGGTGTCTCCCTCCATTGCACATTGCCTACCTGGAACTCATGGGCGTCCATGCAGGGCTCCATGAACAGCCGCGAGACGACGCAACCGCGCTTCCCGAGTTGCGTCAGGGACCGCTGCGCCGACGCCGACTTGCCGACGCCACTTGCACCAAGCACAAGCGCGTGGCGCTTTGCCGACGCAAAGAATTCGATCACGTGCTCGGTGCGCAGCGTCGTCTATGTAGAAAAGATGGTCCTCTTCGACGACGGCAAGCGATATCGGTACTTCATTGGGTACAAACACAAAACGGTGGTGACTCAAGCTGGCCCAGTCCATGCGCGGCATCTGGCTCTGCCAAGTCACGAGCGCCACTTTGCCCTTGTCGTTCTCGAGGTACACGTCAAAGATGGTGCGGCCGGTCGCAAAGAGGCGGTGGTGCGCGAGCTCGGGTGCGACAGTCAACAGCGTCTACGCTCTCCGTCGCATCTCCACTAGCCAGCTATCCACAAAGAACGTACGTCATGAAAGAGAGGTCGGGCGTCCACGTCAATGTACGCGCCGATGCTCCACGTACACGCGACAAGGTAGATGAGTACGACGTCCTTGGCGATCGACGGCGCGTCGTGGAAGAAGCTGTCGACGATCTCGAGCAGCTTCTGAACCAACGTGGGCGCGTGGAACGGGACGTGCGCTTGCCAATGCTGGCGGCCGACCTGCAGAAGCGACGGGAGGTGCGACCGCAGCAGCTGCGCACATCCCTTGGCCGCATCGACGTGGCGCGACGACGACGGCGGCAAGCTATGCCGCAAAAGCCACGCTTTCACATGCACCGTGTACGGCACGGCGTCGCTCGGGACGCTCAGGACGCCAAACCGATCGAGGGCCGCCGGGGACCAGCACTTGAGCGACCTATCGCTGTTTGAGTACGCAAATCAAAGGGAGAGACGTACGAGGCTTCGAAAAAGAGCTTGATAAGCGACGTGTTGAGGCGCTCGCCATTCGGCAAGTGCACGTACGGCGTCTCGTCCGAGATGGCGTAGAGCGGCTCAATGCACGCAGTTGTCACGTCGCCGTCAAAGATCAGCCACGGAACCGCACCCGGTGGCCGCGCTTCGGGCGCCGACACGAGATGCACAAAGCGTGTCACGATCCCGTCGACCCACTCGTTGGTCTCGGGTGCAAACTACACACATCTGTTTCTCAACTTTCAAGGTATCAAGTAGCAAGCTACATGGCCGTAAAATTCGGTCGTGCGAAGCGTAGCCGATGCGATGCGGTAGCAACGCCCGCGATCCCACGGCTCCGACTCGCTAAATGCACGGCGGACAGTCGACAAGACGTGCACGATCGTCGACTTGCCCGTGCCGACAGCGCCTACAGATACTTACTTGCCATATCCATGCAGAGATGGATGCTGCACCCGTGATGATGTTGACAACGTGGTGGCCGCAGAGATGGTGGAGGTCATGGACTTTGCGACTGAGGAGCGGCGTTTGCACCAAGTGCGCCGCTGCGATCGCGTCTTGAATGCGCACTTGCGTTCGCGTAATATCGAGCTCGACGTCGCGATACGATGGAAAGCACTCGCGAAGCTGCAGCAGAAACGACCGCTTCAAACTCGGCGCGACACGCGCCCCCATCGCCCGCTGGATGGCCCACGCGACCGCATGCCCTTCGTCGCTAGCATACGCATATGAGTGTTTGGCCGTCGAGCATCGCGCACATGTTGTCGCCGACGTAGGCTTTGGCGAGGTCGACGATCTTCTTGATCATGCGCACGGTCACGCGGTCGCCGCCCGCGATCGCTTCGCTCGTCAAGAAAAAGGCATGCAGCGTTGTCGCCAGCGACTCGACGTGCAGGAACCCGGCTGCCGACAAGTAGAGTCGCGCCAGAACGACTGCGTCCAGCATCTCGAACGACGCCGTGATGGGCAAAAAGGCGCGCGCGCAGCGCTCGATCAGAGGCGTAATGGCCGGCGTCGACAGCGTGAGTTTGCACACGATGCCAAAGTTGATGCTCGATCGGTCGTGCGAGTGCAATGGTACGTGCGATGACTCCAACAAAATCTTGTCCTTGTGCGTCTTGAGGGCGTGCTGAAGCCGCCGGAGCTCGTGGAGGAAGCGGCCGATGGCCGAAGCGTCGTCGACAGCACCGAGCCCAACGATGAGCGCGTACGCTTGGCAGGGCATGAGGCCGCTCAAGACGCGGTGGAACTGCATCTCGGAGAGCTGGATCGAGCAGTCGTAGGTGACGAGAAGCGAGCCCAGGCTCGCAACGAGCTCCCGGATCGCGGCCTGCTTGCTCACGCCCGTCTCGCCGTGCACGAGGCCGCCGGCGTGCAATCGAAACGCCATCGAGACGCTCCACATGATGCGCTCGGTTAGTGGCGTGAGCGCAATCGTCGCGTGCGGACCGAGGTATTCGAATCTACGCCAGTCTGGACGGTAGCTCTCTTCGAAAGGACTACCCGTATTCGTAGGTTTTGAGGCCGTGCGTGACGAGCACCGTCTGGCTCTCGTGTCCCCAGCGGTATTGGCGCTGTTGACTCCACTCGAACGCTGCGTGGGGGGTCCCATGTAGCCTACGATCGTCGTCTATCGAGTGCGAAATGACGGGCCGCCTACCGCCGAAGGAGCTCGGCGTGGTTGAAGCAGCACAGCGCCATGGTGCTGCACGCATGTCGCTGCTTGTCGGATGTCGCGGTCTTGAGCGCCGCCACCCACTCGGTCGCCTGCACAGTAAACGCATCAGCACGCGTTTCTTCCGTGCAGCGCCGTACGCGGTAGAGTTGTTGCTGGAGCACCATCGTATACGCAGTGTCGCCCGTGAGCACTTGGCTGCAGTCGCCTGTAAAGTAAATGCGAAACGCGAGCAAAAGCACTTGCAGGGGCCAGTTGCCAACGACGTGCTCCATGTGCTTGATACGGCGCGTCATATCCGCTAGATCGCCAACGCGTCAGCAACGTCCTCTCCACCAGTTTGTACCGCAGTTGTCGCCGTCAATGTACAGCTGCAGCACTGCGCTGCTTGCATCTTCCGACACGACATCGCGCACGCAATCTCGAAGCGATCGATGCAGTGCTTTTTGCACATCCTGCATCCAGAGTTCGGGGCGTTGGGTCACGGTGATCGGACTCTCGAGGTGCAAGACTTCGCTGTACTTGCCGCCGACGGTGAGAATGTCCATGGCATAGCGCTCGGCGTCGGGAACGTCCAGAGACGGCACGGAGGCCACAGAGTCGAGGCCCGTCGGTAGCTCGACGGCGCTCAAGGTGCTTCCGAGGAGACTCCCGAGCGCCATCACCCGAACTTTTACCGTCGCCTCGACGATGTGCTCAAAGCAAACACGCAGCACGCTGCTCACGTGGCGGCAGGTTCCGTCGCTCGGGTCCCGAAGGCTCTCGGTCGTGCCGGCCATGATCGCCAGCAGTTGGCGGTCCGAGACAAAGTTGAGACGCGGAAACGCGCGCCGCTTGTCTTGTAAAAAGTATGCGAGTTGCTTCCAGAGCCGTTCAAAGAGCTGCTTGGTTTCGCTCAAGAAGGCGCCTACACCACCTGTCACCATGGACTATAGAAGACGACGTACGGTTGGTGACTTCGCGCACGCACTGCTGGAGCGACGTGGTCGACCGGACGCCTTTCATCATCCCGCGCCACTTGCGGCTCACGGTTTGAAACTCGACATTGGCATGTCGGACATTGGCCTGGACGTCGGGCAGCGCAAAGAGGCGGTCGAGTTGCAGCCAGTCGGTCTGCGTCGCAAGCCAAAGCTCCAACGTGTCTTGAATGTAGTTGATCTCGTCGCTCCAGACCGAGAGAGATGCGTAGAGCGACGGCTGGGACGTGCGCTGCAAAAGCACCTGCACTTGAACGAGGTCGTCGTCCAACGCCAGCAACAGGTCCCCGACGACAAGCGGGTCGAGCTCGGCGTCCGCGCACGGCAGCTCCGTGATGGCCCAGCGCGCTTTCATCGCCTCCAGCGTCGCCTCCGTCTCGGCGTCAATGCGCGCGTGGTAGGCAATCTGCGACAGCTTCTCAGCGTGGCGCCACAATAGCGCGTCATCGAGCTGCTGGAGCGTCAGGCTCGGCACGTGCAGCGCAGTCGTGTCGAGGACCTTGAAGATCTGCGCCCAGTGCGACTCCTTGATGTACTCGGCACCGAGCTCGACGAGCAGCGGCAACTGGGCGAGCACGGCGGTCATTTCGGCTTGGACGCTGACGAAAATCCGGTTCTCAAACCGGCAATGCACCTGTTGCGCACTACTGACAGCAGAACGATGAGACTTCCGTCGGCATCAGAGCACGCTACCGCTTCAAGAAGGCGCGGGTCGTCTCGACATGACCTAACCAGTTTGCGTGTCGCAGGGCAGAGATCATTGCACGTTGTACGTACTCGCCCACGGCTGCGACACAAATTTGGCCTGGAGCATGCTTGCATACGCTTGCTTCCACGCATGGCTGACGTCCCACACCTCGTGCACGTCGACGTAGAGACTGCTTGTCGTTTCGAGAAGCGCGATTGGCGTCACCTTCATGCCCTTTATACGAGGAATGTCTCATAAAAAATGATACCCAGGCACGCAACGTACCATGACGTTTTGATAGTCGCAGTACTGGTCCGAGGCTTCTTGGACCTTGTCGAGCTCCGTCTTGATCTCTACATGGTTCCGTATCGAGCTATCCAACGACTAGAGTGGATCGAGACCTTGGAGCGTAAACTTTTTCGCGTCAAAGTCCATGTTGCTTGCTGGGCTGTGCACGTACGTCCCGTTGGCTTCCAGCGCGACCAAGAGCTTCTTGCACTGCACCGAGTAGCGCTGGAGCACGGTGAGAATTTGCTTGGCGATTTGGGGCAGCATCGACTTGGTAAACTTGAGGTTGGCTTGGAGACTCACATTGTACTTGGCGTACGTGGCATGAATGCTGTTGTACGCGCTCTGCAGGCCCGCGGCCATCGGTGGCGCGAGCGCCTTGAGCGTACTAAACGCGTCATCGACTTGGCGCATCTCGCTCACGAGCGTCATCTCGGCCTCGAGCACGAGACGCGTCTGTCGCTTTTGCTGGCAAAACCCGGAAATGAGCTGCGGCCGCTCGTCAAACAGCAAAATCGCGTCCTTGAGGTGCGTCATGCAGTGCGTCACGCCCCGGCTCGTCACATCACAGAGCACGTCCAAGGCCTGCGTGCGCTGCGCCGTAATGCGCTCGAGCACTTCGCTGAGCACGTGGCGGCAGTGCACGTCCACAAAGCCCACGTCCCAGCTCGCCTACTCGATGACGTGATCCATGCCGTTTGGATCTGTCACAGTGACACACCTGAATGCGGTGGCACTGGCTCTGCCACGCATCCAGCTGCGCGACTTGATTGGAGATGGCCGACAAGAGCGTCGGCAGCTGCGCCAAGTACGTCGACTCGTCGATTGTCGGCAACGTGAGCGCCAGCATCGCCGTGTAGATGGGCCGCAGACCGTTGAACTGTTCGACTTGCTGCGAGACACGCGCAAACGTGTCGCGCACACTGCCTTCGAGGCCAACAACGAGCTTTGTAAACACAGCGTTGGCGTGGAGAACGTCTGGCAGGCGCGGTGGCGGCGACTGCGGACCGACGACTTCGTCGCTCTTCAAGTACGCGGCCGCACTCCGGCTCGAGGCAAAGCCACTCGCAAGCGTCGTAAGCGACTCGATCGCGCCGTGAAGAAATCGAAGGACGTCCGCGTCGCTTGGCGTCAACCGTACATGGGCATCTTGGAGAAAGCTCACGGCGACGGTCAGCGATCGGCTCGGCGCGTGTTGCGTGAGCTGCGCGGCCACATGCGTCACTGACGCAATGACCTAGATGCTCGCGTTACGACCATACACTGGAGGACGAAGCGTTAGCGGCTACCATGGCGTAAAGCGACTGTACAAAGATGTACTGCGTCAGCCGTAAAAAGGCGGGAAACGCGACCAGGTCTTTCTGCGCTTGCTGCACTTGGCGCGCCTGGTCCCGCGTCACCGCTTTCAGGTGCGCCATCGGAATCGACTTCCAGCCTGGGTACGCTTGCCGCATCTCAACCTTATCGGCCGCGTTGAGCGCCGCGAGCGTCGTGTCGGGTGTCATTGCGCTGCGAATGGTGCCGACGAGGTCAAACAAGGCGTGGTGGGCGCCCGCGCGAACCTCAATCAGCTGCGCCTCGAGCTCCTTGAACCTATGGTCGACAATGTACTACTGGTGTTAGAGCCGTGTGTGTACTGGGTCGCTTGCGCGCTGCGCCACTCGGCCAGCGACATGGGCGACTTGGTGACGCCGAGGCTGAGCGCGCGCTCCGACTGGATGCGATGGCCGAGTGTTTGGATTTCGCGCAGGGCGGATGCATAGATGGGTCGGCCGCAGTGCAGCTGCCCCAGCAGCGACGCCCGTGTGCTACGGTAGATGCGCTGTTGGACATAGTGGCGCCAGTGGATAAACATCCGGCGCCGCAGGAGCTGCTGGAAGAGCGGGATGCTCCGGAGCAAGTGGTCAAACATGCGACTGTGGTAGACCCACTCGGCGATCGGAATGCACTCGGCGGGCTCCTGCGGCTTGAAATGCACGAGGTGCTTGGACGACATGAGGTAGTGCTCGCCTCTTCCGGACGTCGCCGGTGTCAAGTCGTACGGGCGGCCGCGCGCCGGGTCGGCGACGGAAAAATAAAGGACGTTGCGCCGGTGCTTCTCGCAGAGAAAGTACAGGACCGCGTCTTCGATGCAGTGCACGGACGCGAGGCTGCCGACCTTGACCGGGCTCCCGGCCGCCGGCGTTCGCTGGCGAAAGCGCGCCACGAGCTTCGCATACAGCTCCTGGTTGTCGTCCTTGAGCTTCTCCAAGCTCGCTCTACGCATGTGCGTGATCTCATGCGCCAGCGATGCGAGGGACGTACCGCTGCTCGCTTGTCTGGCCGTGCTCCTGGAGCCGGCGTGTCCGCTGGCTCGGCCGCGCGCTATTGTTGCTAGGCGGCGCCATTGGCTTGAGGCCTTCGGGCAGCGCCATGTTTGCCACCTTGCGCTTCGGTAATGGCACGTGCAGCGGCGTCTGCCACGTCTGCTTGGCGTGCACAAAGGCAGGGACCGCGTACGCAGCGCGGGCCTCGGCCTCCTTCTCGGCGGCCACGAGCTGCGAGAGCCGGTGGTACTCGGTAGTCTCGATCCACTGGTTGCTTTGGCTGTACGGGTCGACGTCCTCCTCCATCTCTTGCCGCGCAGAGAGGCGGGCGAGGCGCGACGACGAGCCACCGGCGTCCATGCGGCTCTTGCGAGGTCGATCTTTATCCGGATTGGCCAGGAAGCCCTTTTGTGCCGAAAATACCGGATACCGATCCCAGGCTTCAAGGCCTTGTTGACTGTTTGGCGCCATTTCAGTCTCGACCAGGTTGTCGTCTACGCAGCTCACATGGAGCCAAATCACACTCACATGCCCTGGGTATCAGAGGCATATCAAGAGAACACCAGTTATCCAGCCGGGCTTCCCCATCCTTTGGGCCGCGCCGTGGCACGGTAGCTTGCACGGTCATTTTGTATCCTGGCTCACACAGTCCTTTCGCACACCACCTTTACGGCCAACTGATCCATGCGACTTCGATCGCGTGAGAGAGTGAGCCGCGAGCGTCGTATGGAAGCCGCGCCTGTCTCGCCAGATTCGGTCTGGTCTGGTCTGGGCCATTGGGTCTGGGCCGTCGCTTCAAGGTGGCACGTGCCGAATGGTGCCGAAGGGGCAAGAAATTTAAAATTCCGCGTCTGTGATTGGCTGGCAATCCGTGGAAGAAGGCACACGATTGGTCCATTATCTCGGTCGCGCTTCGCACACGCCGCCACTTTGCCTTTTTCCTTCAAGTGCTCAAGCCCACCAGCAACATGCCCCGCGGTACCAACTCCCAAGGCAACACGTACAACTCGCCCGCGGTCTCGCAGCCCAACACCAACAGCTATCACTACTCCAACACGGACGGCTCGTACTACTATCAGTACGTTTCTACTATCTCGAGCAGCACTTACTGACTCACGTAGAAACTCGAACGGCTCGACGTACTACAACAACGGCCAGGGCAGCGCCACGTACACGGCGCCCAACGGCACGCGCTACGCCAAGTAATCGTGTTAATGACACCCTTGCGTTTTCATATGACTTGAATTGCAATGACGCTCTTGGCGTCATCGGCAGGACTGAGAGAGACGTATGGCCGTCGGCTTGGACACAGAAGAGCTAGAATTCACCAAGTTTTTCCCGATGCGAGGTCCGACGCACTGCCCGAATAGCGCGAGAATGTCTTGCACCTGCGTTTAGGGTTCTTCTGCAATATGATCTTATATTGTCACCGTCTTGCTGAAGACGGCCATCACAACTTCTAATGTCCTCATTATGACTCGGCAAACAATGGACTGGCTAACGTAGTGTATTGAATAGAGTATCGTCGATTAGATGCGTTTGACGAGCTGCACAATGTCTTCGTCCATGAGGAGGTGCTCCTTCCCGACCTTCTGCGGCTGGTGCTTGACCGAGAGGCCCCACACGTTGGCGTACTTGAGGTCCTTGAGAATCGTCTTGTGCAGCCGGTTGCAAAAGTCCTCGATCGACGGGTTCTCCGAGTGCAAAATGACGGGCGCATCGTAGTCGGGCAGCCGGCCCTTGGGCTTGGTGTAGATGCGGATCATGTTGCAGTACTCCCAGACCTTCTCGAGGAGCTCGTCGAGGTTCCAGCCGTGGTGCGCCGAGATGAGCACGTTGTGCGGCAGCTGGTCGATGATCGTGAGCTCCTCGATCGTGAGCTGATCGATCTTGTTGAGGACGTAGAGGCACGGGATGTACACGCGGTTGCCTTCGATCACGTCAATGAGCGCGTCAACGCTCACGTCTTCGCGGAGCGTCACGTCGGCGTTGTGGATCTTGTACTCCTTGAGGATCTGGAACACCGTGTCGTAGTCGAGCTCGCTCTGGTCGACCATCGCCTGGAAGTTCAAGCCGCCCTTCTCCTTCTTGCGCAGCACCATGTTCGGCGGCTTCTTGTTGAGGCGGATGCCAAAGCCCTCGAGTTCGTGCTCGATGAGCTTCTTGTGCGTCGCCGGCTTCATCGCGTCCAGCACCATCAGAATCACGTTGCACGTGCGCGCGGTACCCATGACCTGGCGACCGCGACCCTTGCCATCCTTGGCGCCTTCAATGATACCCGGCAAGTCGAGCACCTGGATCTTGGCACCGCGGTACGTCAGCGTGCCAGGAATCGCCGTCAGCGTCGTAAACTCGTACGACGCAGCCTCCGAGAAGGTGCCCGTGAGCTTCGTAAGCAGCGTCGACTTGCCGACGGACGGGAAGCCCACGAGGCCGACGCGCGTGTCACCCGACTTGTTGACATCGAAGCCTTCGCCGGCGCCACCGCCGCCGCCCGACTTGCCGCCGTCGAGCACCTCGCGCCGGAGCTTGGCGATCTTGGCCTTGAGGAGGCAGAGATGCTTCATCGTCGCCTTGTTCTTCTGCGTACGGTTGTACTCGGCTTCGAGCTCGTTGATCTTGGCCATGGCGGAGCTCATGCTTGCGTCGTTCTCCCTGACGTTGCCGTCGGTCAAATAAAGGTCAAGTCCCGCGACCACCACAATTAACCTCCTGCGATGCCATTGGTTCCTTTCATCCGGAATTCCGGATATCATGCCCATCAACACCTCATCAAGGCAACAAGTTAGTGGGGGGTGGGCTGGACGTGGACCTGGCGCATGTGCGTCGACTCGCGCTTCGATTGCATGGACATGGCCGACATCATGGACCGGAGCAGCGCCGAGCCCTTGGATCCAAGCTTGAGGCCGCGGCCGTCGGTACCGCCGGCCGGTGCGCGGTGCGGGTGCTGCTTGGCCTTGAGCTGGTTGACTACACACGCTTCGTCATACGAAGATAAGACATTGAGGAGCGTACACTTGGCGATATGCGCGACGAAGAGCACCTTGCGCTCGTCTTCAGAGAAAGTCTGGCGCTTCTTGGCGTAGCCGTGGTAGTAGATACTGAGGAGGCCGAGGAGACTCAGAAAGATGATGACCGCCGTGTAGCTGTCGTTCTGGAAGCCTGCGATCGCAACGATGACGAGAACCCACACGGTCAATGCGTAGATGGCGCCGGGGACCCCAAAGAGACTCGTTTGAGATCGCGCAATGTGCTTGAACTTGCGCCGCAGCACGATAAAGCCGACGCACTGCGCTGCATACCCCGTCGACGCGCTGAGCATGCAAATGTTGAAGAGGTAGTGGCCGACGATCGGGTAGAAGTACACGACGAGGCACAGGAGGTACCCGACGCCCGACCCGAGAAGCAGTGCGACCAGCGGCGTCTTGTTCGGTCCATACTGGTGCTGGCACACCCGCGGCAGCAGCTGCGAGCTCGCCACCGCGTGGATGAGCTTGCCGTACGCAAAGATAAAGCCAAAGACCGTCGCAAACGTTGCGGGGATTGCAAAGGCCGTCACGACTTGGTCCGAGAGCCCCGTGAACAAGACAAACCCTACGTCGCATGAGTCCAAGAATCATCGAGAGAGTGGACCCGAGTTCATCGTCGCCAAGACGGTCGGAAGCTGGTCGACGCCGGGGGGAAGACCGACGCATAAAACCACCGACGCCACGGACGTTGCAAGCAGCGTGAGCATGCAGTACAGCTGCGCTTTGGGCACGACAGCCTTTGGGTTCTCAACGTCGTCGCTCGCAAGGGACACGGCTTCAACGCCGACGTAGAGCCACGCAGCGAGCGGGAGGTTGGTCATAAAGGTCCCAAAGCTACCGTCGACGTTGGACGACGGTGCAGTCGCAGCGTACTCGACGTACGACGCCGACCCGAGCACCCAGAGAAGGAGGATGCCAAACGAAACCAGGGCAAGCATGAGGTTCGCGCGCCAAAAGATTCGACCGCCAAGGCCTTGGACGAGAATCGAGACGCCGTAGATGAGTAGCCAGAGCAGCGGCTGCACCGTCTCGAGCGACGGCGCCAAAATGAGCAAAAGCTGCGTGAGCGAGAGCACCGACGACGAGACGTACGCAATGTACTCTAGGATCTCACACATGCCAATGAGAAAGCCGACGCTAAAGCCGAGCGAGCAGCGCGCGAGGCCGTAGGCGCCGCCCGCAAAGGGCAGCGCGGACGTGACCTCAGCGACGCTGCACACCATAGCGAGGTACCCAGACCCGATGAGGACGATGGCGACGCAGTATAAAGGGAGGCCGGCGGCGAACCCGACGTTCCAGCAGAAATACTGCCCGCCAATGACGATCGTAATGCCAAGCGCCCACACGTCGAGCGTCGACACCATGCGCGTCGTTGCTTTTCTGCTTTTGCGCGACGATTGCCGGTAAATTTACGGTTTCTCCCGGCGTTGCTCTCAGTTTGCAGGTTGCGGTTGACAAAAATCCGAAAGTTAGACGCTGTTTACGACCGGTAGTCGGCGTTGATGGCCACGTACTCGTGCGTCAAGTCGATGCCGAGGACGGTGCTCTCGGCTTGGCCGAGCCCGAGGTCGACCGTGATCTCGACACAGTGGTCGTGCGGCGGGTAGTCGTGCGACGCGACTTCGAGGCCGCCACGCGTCGGCTCGGTGAGCTGCGCACGCTTCATGTGGCCCACAAGGAGCGCTTCGACGTCGCCATTGAGGGCAAACTCGCCGTGTTCAAAGATGCGGAGACCGCCCATGGAAATGCTCATCGAGTCGGCGACTGCGACGCCCTTGTGGTGTTTGCCCATGTACTTGCCGACCTAATGCCACCACATATTTTGAGCAAAATGCAAAAGCGAGAGAGGTGGGCATACTGCCATGACAAGGCGGCCGACGTTCGGGTCGTTGCCAGCCACTGCGCACTTGAGCAACGGCGAGTTGACGATCGACTTGCCGACGCCCTTGGCCATGACCTCGTCGACCGCGCCCTTGACGCGCACCTGCAACACCAACCTCATGGGACTTGAGGCGGAAGACAAAGACGTACGCGCATGACGTGGTGGGCGCCTTCACCGTTGCGCACAATGTCCTCCGCGAGGCCGCCGCAGACCTCGTATAAGGCGGTGCGAAAGGCCTCGAGCTGCGTCGCTTCGTCGAATGGGATCTGACCAGATGAGACGATCGCCAGCGTATCGGACGTGCTTTCGTCCGTGTCGACGCTCATCGCATTGTACGTCTTCTCGACGACCTCGGAGAGGAGCGCGCGCAGCGTGTCCCGGGGCACAGCCAAATCTGACATCGATGTGAGAAGGATAAAGGGCAGAGGTCGCGATCCGTCTACCTGTGAGGATGTACGAGAGCATCGTAGCCATGTTGGGCTCGACCATGCCGGCGCCCTTGGCAATGCCGACGATGCGGCCACCGCAGACGTCCGCCGATCGAATCTTGGGGTACAAGTCTATGACCGAGATCGCATGAGCCGCGATCGTCAAGAGAGCACATGCATGGCATACCCGTCGTCATGATGCCGCTGGCGGCGGGGTAGATGCTCGTGTCTTGCAGCGATTCGACGACTTCGGGAATGTGCTCGATCATTGCATCGACCGGGAGGCGCCAGCCAATGACACCCGTCGAGCTCGGTAGCACCATCTTGCCGCTCGGCAGGTCCAGGTGATCGGCGATAGCCTCGCAGATCTCTTGCGCGTCGGCAACGCCGCCACCGCTGGCGCAGACGTTCGAGATCTTATTGTTGACGATGATCGCACCGAGCTTCTCCTCGTCGAGGCGCTTGCGGCCCACCTTGATCGGCGCCCCGGGGCATGCGTTCTGCGTGAACACGGCGCCAAAGAGCGGCGTGGGCACGTGCGGCTTGATGAGCGTCAGCGTCATCGTCGCCGGCAGATGCGGCGCCTCCGCCGGCGTAAACTGGAACTGCGAGCTCCCGACAGAGAAGCCCCACGGTAGCCGCGTGTGGTGGGTCTCCAAGTACGCTCGGTACTCGGCCGACGAGTTGAAGGCGAAGACCGGCTTGGTCGAGTAGCGCACGGCCGACAGGCGCTGGAACCGGCGGAGCATCGGCCAAAGATTTTATGACCAGAAAAAAAGATATGCCATTCGATTCCATTAGGTTCGCTCCAAATATCTTGATATTTGTAAAGAGCTCTTAAGTACGCATTTGCGTTAAACAACGTTAAACCCAGGGCCGCAGGTCGTGTTGAGGCCGTGATGGCGCAGGGACCGTCTGGGAGGAGCCGATGCGTTGTCTTCATGGAGCGAGCCACCATACTTGTTGGCGCCGCCGTGACCGCGCTACATTGTCCGCACCGTCTAGATAGGCCCGAGACGTTCAAGTGGGTTTTACCTAGATTTTACCTAAAAACCAAGTTGAAGCGGGAGCACCAGAGGAAATTGCATGCGGCTGGCGTCGAGCGCGGTCAACTGGGTGTACGTAGCGTCGTCATGTAGTATTAGGGAAGGGTGTAATTGTACTAGGATATTGTTCACTGAGCTTCGTTGCGGTGGGCCGTGACGCGCGCTGCGTACTCGTTCATGGCGAGCGTCGACTGCGGGGCGATCCACTCCCTACATTCACCAACGGTTCATGAGCATGCATGTGGCAAGCAACGCTTTCTCGCGTACCAGAGGTAGATGGAATGCCCCGTCGACGACTTGACTCTGGCGCGCACACAGCGCAGTCGGCTGTCTTCGGCCAAGGCCATGCGAACGGTGGGCCAAAGCTCCTTGGCGTCTCTGCGAGCTTCGCCCTTGAAGCCAAGCAAATCCAAAATGGCTTCGCTGAGGTACGTCTCGCGCACGGCGGCGTTGCCCGGCAGGTTGGACTTGGCATGCAAAAGCAGTTCTTCTTTGGCGCAGACGACGAGCTTCTCGACCTACAAGACGTGGTCAGCATTGGCACCGCTTCTCACTGCTCGTACAAGGCGGTCGTCGTCCTGCACCGACTGCGGCAAGTATAAGACGATCACCGCCAATGCCGCCACGACGCAGAGCACAAACTGTAGTAGAACATCGTGAGACAACAGATATAACAAAAGCGAGCGTGTACCAGAATGGGCGAGAGGTTCTTGAGACAGTACTGGGCGACGGTATGCAGTGACAGTAGCAGGTACTGGGATCGCGAGGCCAAGGCGTCGTAGGGATCACTGCCGTAGATGGCGACAAATGCCACGACCATGCACACCACCAGGGCGACTGTGAGATAGACCCATGACAATGGTTCGCTCTCGGGCGTCGATGGTGACTGAGGTGACGAGGATCGGTGGTGCGAACGAAGCCGTGCCTTCATTGGCGTCAAACGACCAACGCTCGAAGACTGCGACCGCTTCTTCCGCCGGCGAAGATCTACCGCAGCCGTGTCCGGGTCCTGTGCAGTCGGCGGGCTCGGGCGTCGTGTGGCAGCTGTCGTTTGCTCTTCCGCGATCGACTGCGTGCTGCGAGGAGGCGACGCTCGCACTGACGTGGACGGCTCTGTGTCGTCGGTGAACGGGGCGTAGATGTTGATTTCGGGACTCGCAAGACCCATTTGCTTGAGGTGGTAGTTGGTCGCCGGTAGCACAGGAGCCTTGGTCGTCCGCGACTGTGGCTGCGGCTTCTTCTGTTCGCGTCTCTTCTCGTCCTCTTCAATATGCTTGAGGATCTGATGGCTGCGCAGCAGCTCGGCCTTGTCGACCGCGCGTTGGTGGCTTTTGCGTCTCTCCTCTGTGCGCGTGCCAATGGGCTCCTTGCGGGGGGGCTGACGTTCTGTCTCGGCGCGGTCGCGGGCACGCGTGGTATGGGCGGAAGACAATGCGAGATCGGGCTCGGCTTGCTGCGCCTTTTTCTTGGCGCGGAAGAGCGGCGTGGCCGTCTCGATGGACACGGGCTGGCGGGCCTTGGGGAAGAGCGGGTACGCGTACTCGAACGTCGGCTTGCGCGACGTCCGCAGGGATAGCTTCGATGGGCGCATCATGTGGCGGTTCTTCTGGACGAAGGCTTCGATGCGCTGGCGCTGGGCGTCGGCCTCGAGGTCACGGACGCGATGGAGCTTGGAGACGGGCGAGAGGAGTTGGGAACGCGGAGATAGGACCACGTCCGACGCCAGCATGCTCGGAGAAACCAAATTTGAATTTCCGAATTCAAAAACCGTATCCGGTACTTTCCGGATACGATTTCAAACCCGTCGACCAATCACACGACTCGAATTCTCCACAGCGGCACTGGATTCGCTACGATCAAGTACATGGACGGACATGGCCCCTGGAACTGAATAGACTCGTAATTTGTATGCATGACTCTGCCAAGACCAGTACATGGACCAATCATAGTCCTCCAGATTAAAGACAATTCTGTGCACAGAAATGACACAGTGGCTGCAGGCCATCTATTCAACGGAGGGCGTCTGGGTCGAATTGCGGATCCACGTTTCGGCCTGGGTGCTCAGCGGGAGCAGATGCATGACTCGGTCGATCGGCCGCGTGCACACGTGGCAAACCTTCTGCTCTCGAAACACCTTTTTGCCGCACTCAAAGCAGCAGTAGATATGGATGTAGTAGCCGTGCGCCATGCCCGCCGTGCGCGGTCGAGCTTGGCAGAGAAGACACAAGGCACTCTTCTCGACACCACCCGCCGGCTCGACGTCGTTGTCGTCGTCGCTCTCGCCCACGAGCTCGTCGTCGTCGCCAAACTCGTCGTGCTTTGTCTCTTCTTCGTCTTCATCGTCCTCGTCATCTTCGCAGCGCCCGCTGCTCACCACAATGACGTTGCTTCTCTCGCCGTCATACCCGCTCTCGATGCTGCTCGCGGCCTCTCGCGGCACTGCGGGCATCCGAGCGACCTGGACGACGTCGTCCTCTTGCGTACTGTTGTCGTCGGACACGTGCAAAGGGCCGCGGGTCTTGCGGACGACTTGCACATCGTCGTCTTCGTCCTCGGTTTCCGTGTTGGCGTCATCGTTTGCGCGCGCTGCGGGTTGGACCTCGTCGTCACTGAGCTCTTGGCGGGCGTCGCTCGGTTCAAAGAAGCGGCTAATGTGACCGGGACGCGACTCGATACGTTCATCGCTCGCTTGGGATGCGCTTTTCCACACGTTGCGGATCGCTTGGCCTTTGCTCCGATGGTTGCCCTCGCCAAAGTTGTCGACAAGGTTTTCGAGTTCTTTGAGCCGCCGAAACTCGCGCTAGCATCACCGTATCAGACATTGTTGCGGCGTTGTACTAGGAAACGTACAGCGTGCAAGCTTTTGCGAGCGGCTTCCGACGGCTTCTTCCCGTTGGCGCTACGTTCGGACACGTCAGTTGACTTGGCGTAGATCATGCACGTACGATTTGATCATGCGCAAGATGAGCTCGCACCACTGAAACTTGGCTTGATGGAGGCTCCAGTAGAGCAAAACCCGCTACATACACACGTCGTTGAAGCATGTGCGCGCAAGGTCGTTTTGCTGTACGTTGAAGCACACACTGCCAAGCATGAAGAGAATCTTGTGCATACTTTGCTCCTTCCGACATGCTTGGAGGCTAGACAGTACACGATGAGGATTTCGGCTTGATCGGCAGCGGCGTACTGGGTCGACCAGCCCTTCTTGTAGAGCCCGGAAGCGCCACAGCGCATGCCCGAGAAGCGAACCTACGTAAATATGTTGGTGTATGATTCGGACCGCAGCGATGCGTGCGTACTTGCATGGACGCGAGGTGCTCGGAGCGGTCGCAAGCTTCGCAAGTGGAGGAATACTGGCACGGAACGTGGCTCAGTGACGGGTAGTGCTCGATTGCCTCGACGAGATCGTCTGGCCACTTGACCAAGCCCCGGAGGCTGTCTCGCCGCTGGCACAGCGCCCGCTCCACCTAGAATGGGATATCAACTGTCGCTCAATTTGCGTGGCAAGCACGTACATGCTTCTCGGCCTCGAGAAAGATCTTGTCGCGGTTGTTGGCTTCGAACGTCGGATCCATCTGAGAGAGGAGCATGTAAGAGGCTGTAGCGAGGATGCGACGCACCATGCAGTTCTCCAAGTAGTCCATGTAGATGGAAAACCACTCGTCGCGGTCGCGGGACTTGTGCGCAGCGCGGTAGGCCTCAAAGTCTTCTTCTTCGCTGTAGACGTGCTCTTCGTTGTTTTCGTCGATGCCGTTGGTCGTTGCTACTTCGTCGTCGTTCATGTACTCGATGTGGTTGTCACCGACAATGAAGTCGTCGTCTTCCGCGCTGGCGTTGCCGTCGCCAGCCGAGTCGGACGCTGCAACAAAAGCCTCCTCATCCTCGGACGACGCCGTCTTCAAACACGTGTTGAGCGTCGCAAAGGTCAGCTTCTTCTTCTTGGGTGTGGTCGAGAGCCGGCGAGACGATCGGCGCGGTGTTGAAGACATGAGCGACTGGCGCCGGGGCGGGGGCGCTGGCTTTTCTTCTTCCGAGTCGATCTCGGTCGCAGGCTTGTCATCGTCCGAGTCTGAGTCGAGGACAACGAGGGCCTTGCGCTTCGCCCCGCTGGACGGGGCGTCGGGCGAGTCGCCGGGGACGTCCGAGTCGTACTCGGTGATCCGGCGCCGCTTCGCCATGATCGGCGCGGGTAGCGACGCGGCCATGCTGCTTGCGACGACCTCGTCGTCCTCGGTGATCCGGCGCCGGCTGGCCTTGCTCGGCGTGATGATCTCGACCTCGTCGTCCGAGCTCATTCGGTTGGGAAGATTGGGAGTGCTGCCGCGCACAGGATTTTGACCAATCACATCGCTCCACTCGGTTCCCGTGTTTTCCGTTTAATTTTCGGGAATTCGGTGCTGTGGATGTATTGAAGTCGCGACACCTCGACTACCGGCAGGTATTAATGTGAGCGAACGATCATCGAAGCCGAACTCTTTCCCTGCTCTTCAAGCACCTTCTCGTATAATAACTCGTTGGCTGGTAAGTCGAGTTCGGACCAGACGCTAGCGTAGGCGACAAAGAGAACCGGGACATCACCAAGGGCGTGTACTAGTATGCACTATCATCCATCCGCGGCCACCCAGCACTACAGCAATTACCGCCACCAAGAGGATATATCGATTTTCGTATGCGAACACGGTGTTCGAACTCTGCATGTTAGTTCGACTGCTCGATAGCCTACGGATACCTCGAGCCCTCAAGTTCAACTGCAGTTGCAGTGCTTTTTCTGCAGTCAGCGCAGGTATTCTACATTCCCCATCAACACTACGCCTGTAGTGCCGTGATCTCTTGAGGTTCTCTTGTCTCGCACCGCGGCGCGAGGTCGAGCGTTGGCGCCAGAATTTGTGTCGCCTTTGCACTTGTCCGGTCGATTTCGTAAATTTCCGACCATAATTCACGGTATCCTCTCTCTTCAACAGCGTATGCTGGCAAAATGTAGCAAACGCCGCGTCCTGATTGGCTGCTATTGGTATTGGTGGCACCTGATTGGGCATAAAGAAAGGTGGGGCGTTGGTGGTGAAAAAGCTCGCAGCTCTGGTTTTTTGGTCTCACGATGAACAGCGTCGTCCGCGTCCTGGGCCGTCTCGGCGCCACGAAGGCAGCCCCTCCCGCGCGCCTCCTCTCGGGCGTCGCCCGCCACGGCCCCTCCATGGACACGCTCTGGAACGTCGGTTCCTTCCCGATCATGGCCTCGGCCAAGCCGGCCATGATGCTCTCGACTCACGAGATGCTCCTCCACGTGTCCAACCCGGCGCTCGACGTCTTCTACCCGTCGCTGTCGGAGCTCATCACGGACATGGGCGAACAGGTCGAGTACCACGCCGATAGCGTGCTCAAGAAGCGACGAAAAAAGATGAACAAGCACAAGCACAAGAAGCGCGTCAAGGCGCTCCGCGATAGAACCAAGAAGAATTAGACGACGGACGCGTAGACCTCTCGCCGCCGCCTCTGTTACGAGGCGTAACCATCAAGCAATTCGAATGATGGCCATAGCCCTTCTGGCTTCGCACTGTGCATGAGCAGTCGAGTGACCATTAATACCAGTGTTAATGGTGCGCCAAGGCAATCTTATAAGGCGAGGAGGGATGGACTGTGTGCACAGTGTACGTTGTTGTTGTCTTCAATTCTACCCTACGCTGCCGGATTACAACAGCGTGACGTTGTGTCGGGGCGTGAGCGCGCCACCGCCGGCAGAGCCCGGGCCAGGCGTGAGCATTTCTTCGCCCGCGGGCGACTCCAGGTATGACGGCGACTCGCGCTTCTTGCGGAAGAGGAAGAGGCCGCCGATGAGGGCGAGAAGGACCACCGCGCCGATCGCAATCAAGACGATCCACTTGGTTTCCAAGCCCGAGCTCGAACTGTCGGTGTTATCACCACCGGGGTTCATCGTCGCAATGTTGTTGGGGTTGGCGGTCGGCTTGAGCGTCGTCGCACCAGGCGTCAAGGTCGTCGCGTCCGGCGACAAGGTCGTCGCGTTCGGTGACAGCGTGGTCGCATTCGGCGACAAGGTTGTCGCGTTTGGGGAGAGCGTTGTGGCGTCGGGCGAGAGGGTCGTGGCATTGGGCGACAGCGTCGTCGTCGTAGGCGTCGTCGTCACGGGCGCCGTCGTCTTGTCGGTGGTCGTCGTCGGCGCCGGCGTCTTGTAGGGCGCTGGCAGCGGGCCCACGCACTGGACGTTGTCCGTCTTGCGCTGGCAGCCCATGATGTTGCCGTTCATGACGCCACAGCACGTTTGCATCTGGAGTGTCGTCGTGCCATCAACATTGGGCTGGCCTTCCTGGGGGCAAAAGTACTTGCCAAAGGACTGGCCGGGCGTGTACCTGCCCGAGCACGGCTCGCCGCCGACGCAGTAGACCGTGCCACTGTTGAGGAGCGAGACTTCCCATTGCCCGTCCGGGCACGCGCTGTGCGTGGCGGCGACGAAGGCGGCCACGAGTACCAAGTAGAGCGACCGCATCAAACCTGGTGGTTGTTTCGTAAATGACTTGGTCTGAGTATAGCCGGCGTCAATTAGTAATTTCGATGCACTGGCTACTGCCCTTCCACCAATCGCAGCGCACGGCGCGATCTGTTTTGCGGGAACACCAAGTCTCACAAGTGTCCATCCTGCTGTCAAGCTGCACCATGTGCACAGCACAGCACCTTTAAGCTGAAGCTTGGAATCGAGCCGCCACCCCAGCGAGCTTGGCGAGCTCCAGTGTTGCAAAAGCGGGACGAGGTGGCAAAGGCGAGCTCTCGGCTCCAGCAGTACACTGTACGAAGATACGGTATTCATTCTGGGGGCTTGGCATGGGAGTGATATGCGCGTGCGCCAAATATTCCCGACGGCAATGCTGTGGCCGGCCTGCGGACCGCGAGCGCAACAGCAAGCGCGCAGGGAGTGCGACGACGAATGAGACGACAGTGAGAAGTACAAGTGCAAACGAGACAGCAATGAAAGATACCGCAAGCGACTTTTGCTCGGATCTTGTTAGACTCGAGATTTGTATGTGTCTGACGACGCCGTGTAAAGTTCGACCACCCAATCATTCGACGCGAAGAGACGCGGGAGCCAATCAAAGCCGCGTCATGGACCCTGTAATGCGCTTGTTTTTGACCATCAAGAAGAACCCTCTTGGCGACGGC